TTCTTAAAATTCTTAAAGGTTTTCTGTTGTTGTCGTTGGGTAAATGCGCAGATCACGCGCTCAGCGCGGCTCGCCGTTCTACTCGGGAGAAAGTCGGTCAAGGCATCCGGGGTCAGTGTTACGGGGTATTTCAGGTTACCGACATCACGGCGGAGTAAAACGCGCGCGCGGTGCCACCAACCTGAAGAAGGCCTGTCCGAGTATCGGGTGCAGTAGACCCAGGCTGGCCACAGCATGGACTTGGACGCGGGTGGGTTTGAGCTGGCTTGGGAACTGTCCGAGTCCGAGCTTAGGCACTGGTCTCCTCTCTCCCCGCGGGGATCCTGGGGCTCGTCGGCGGCTATAGCGGGCTTCTTGCTGCTCACGGTCACCGTGTGCGGGGTGGAGGTCCCCTCCGCCGGCACCGTATTCCCCACCGGCTCGGTCTGAGGCGCGTCGGGGCTGCCGGGGCTCTCCCGCGATGCCAGGCTGCTCGCGTCGCGGTTCGCGTCCCCGTCCTTTTTGCGTCCGAAATCCGGCCGCAGGATGTTGTCGATGAAGAAATTGGTGACCCGGTGCGGGATCTGCGGGTTCCCCGGCGGCTGCAGGAGGGGAAGGATGGCTCTGTTGGATTCATCCGCCGACTCCTGCCGCTCCACCGCGTCTCTGTTGCCGCGATCATTTTCCTCCATACTGATTCACTTCCCCCGCTTTGCTCTCTTTTAACCCCTTTGTCGCTCGTGCGCTCTCTCCGCCGCAATAAAAAAAAATCGCAAAGAACTTGCGGGGAAATTAGATTGTAAAAAAAATATTTAAAAAAATCTGCACGCTGGAATAAATGTAAAAAAAAAAAAAAAAGAAACTCAAATGCTAGTGGGTGCCTTGGACACCATGCAAAGCCTTGCGATAGTGCCCTCTGAGAAAAACATACTTTTTTGACATATATTCCCTCAATCTCGGGTTACAACTGATACCGCAGACTCAAAACATTTGCGCACCATCCAATTAAGTGTTATCCGTTTTGAGTGTGCTCAGCAATGCCTACACCTAAACTAAACTAAGGGTAAATAAAGAGGCTCCCAAACTGATGCTCTAATACTCTCACTCTGGAGTTTTGTTCTTATTTTCAATACGAGCCCCCCGAGTGACGTTTTCCCACCGTCCTCCCAGACACGTGCCTTGGACCAATGGGGTGGCAGAAACCAAGCCACGTGACGCAGACTCCAGAGCAGTCCACAAACGCCCATCCTCGCCTCAGTAAAGGGAAAGAGTCCTGGAAAAACGGATTTAAATCCAGCGCATGCTTCCAGATACTCCCTATAACCCATCCATGTTATTAACATGTAACTTATTTTTTATTTTTTTTGGGAGGGGGGGGGCTTTGCATCACCATGTTTGTGTTTGTTAAAAAACGGGAGGATGAAGCATCGCCTGTCAAAGGGGGATGAAGGGACCCCCGGGGTTCCTCGCTTGCAGGGCAGGGAGGGATTTCAAATAAAAAAACGAGAAATAGTATGTTATTGTACTATGGTCGCATTCTGTTTAATATACATGTACACACGTTTCCTTCTCGACACTTCACGATTCCCACAGATCATTACAGTTCAACCCTACAACAATAGCAACTAAGAACGTGCTCTTTCGAAGGCAAATGAGACAAACCCCTATTGTAAAGAGGGAACTGGCCTAATGGTGGATCCATTTAGGGATCCGTGACCTGAAAACCTTTGAGGCAACATGTGTCGAAATATGTGAACGTACACCTTCAGACGCCATTGGAAAGACTGTTAATTGGTTGTAAACATGTTAACAATATTTCTGCACTAACGGTTATTATAGCACAGTGAGGTCAAATGGACTCGGGTTTAAAGTCAGGATGTCCTGGCCATGGTTAAATGCGGATAACAATAGCTGCCTGTCTGAATGCACTCATTTGGAACCAAGGGCGGTATTTTCTTGTTTATTATATTTGTTGTTATATTTAATCTAAAACGCATCTCTTTCTAAACAAACAACAACATCCCACGTTGTGGTGTAGTGGGGCATTTCACCATTTTATTTGCAGAATGTCTAACGAGACAGTTTGATTATTGTCCACAAGATGCATCCAAAACCTAAACGTGAAAGCCAGTGACCCCCCCCCCCCCGGTCCAATTTCAAAGGCGCAGAGACTTGTGTATTTTTTGACGTTCTCGTGCTCCCCTCTCGTGACGCTGCGCTCGACCGAGAAACTGGGTCTATATCCCTTTAAAAGAAGAATCAGTGATGCAAACAAACTGTTTTGTTCACGCTGCTCGGGGTACCGAGTCGCGCCAAACACAAAACTTCTGGGTAACTTTACTGACCGCAGCCAGAGTTTGTGGCTCTCCTCCCGGGACGCCGGCGGGCTGCGCGCAGGGCTCAGCCGGCTCTCCGCCGGCGTTTGAACCCGAGGCTGCGCGTAAAGGAGATCGGGTCATCGAGGAGGACCGATGGGAGCACACAGCCAAACTGAGACTGAGTGAGCGGCCTTTGAACATTTCAGTTGGAAAGTCAGACAGATGCCCTCTATTGTAATTTTTTTTTTTTAACATGCATTGTCTGCAATGGCTTTTGGACGGTCCAAGTAACTTGGTGCCAAATTTCTAAAATGATCATTGGAGGCGTATATTGATATTTGTAGTCAGACGTTATAGAATATTCTGATTTATTTGAAGTGTCAGGGTCGTTTGCAGTGAAAGAAAACGTGTGTTTTTTGTACGCCGCGAAGCAGCAATAACCTGCTGCACAAAACTGTCTCAGTTTGTGTTTGTGGCAATTTAAACTCGAGTCTAAGCCTGGCGGTGTCTGGCCGGAAACATGCTATCCTTATCCTCGATTTTGCAGGCTTTGTGGATACTGCAAAGTTATTATAGTGTTTTTACTTTCAATATCTCTCTGGGGCTCAACACGTGTTTGCGTGCACACATACAATCAGAACGCCACATCACAGGGTTGAAGACTTTGGATCGCACTATTCTTCTTTCGCAAATGTTCGCATCATTTAAGAAATATCAAATATGCCTGAACGCCCTCTGCTATATCTCCGATGGCAATGGGAGCTTCCTCTCTCTCACTCTCTGTCTGTCTCTCTCTCTCTTCGGCTGCTGCAGGGAAAGTTGGGAGTGGAAGATGTAATTAGACAGGCCACTCTCATGCTGCGATTGTTTCTCGCTTGTGAGGGGAAGCGCAGATTAATGCTGAGCGCTAAATAAGCAGCAGACAATGGAGGCACAGACAGGCCGCTGCCGCCTTGGCTTGGCCTCTAACCTCGCAGCAAAACACGGACGTCTGGAGGAAATGACACCGATTCAGCCTCCGAATTATAATACATGAGCCAGAGCGCACTGCACACAACAAACAGGTGCACGTTTCGACACGACAAACAGGCTTGGATTCTGCACCCTTCCCCCCGTTATAGAAAGTGACATATTGGCGCCCATTTAACTTGTTTACATTCATAGACGGCTTTTTAATTGGGAATTTGGGGATTTGTCTTTAGACGGGGAAAAATAGATGTGCTGGTGTGCAGAAGTCATCTCTCTCTGTCTCTCGACTGCTGTTTTCCAGCAGCAAAACAAGCTTTTAATACTCAGAAATATACGGGTACTCGTTTGCAGTGTATCGTGCACGCGCATAATCCCACTATTGTGGGATTTTGATTCACTATTGTCTGTGCAGTTTTGACTGGCTTGTTTTGGACCGTGCATGGTTGGAAAAAAAAGGGGGATGAGATGTGTCCTGTTTTAGCAGAAAAGTCAGTCACCATTGTTGGTTTGCTTCACTTGCTGGGGATTTCTTGTAGTCTGACAGATGAGTCAGACTTTCTGCTTACTTGTATGTGAATGAAGGATCATTGTGGTGCAGTTTGACCTGGTTGACTGAGGGTCGCCGTAGCGTCCAATTGTTCATGACATTGTTATTTTTTTTTTAGATTCTTATTTCCAAGTGAACTCAGGCATGAATTCAGGACTCAATGGACGCACGTGTAGTTAGTACGTTTGTTTGTTGTAGTTCGTGGTGTGTTCTATAAGCATGGCGTTGCATGATGTTTCCTTATTCGGTCTTCAGTTTGTTTCTTAAATAGCGATTTTTAAATTGATGTGCTTTTTATATTTTTACGTGGTTAAATGGATGTACGGATCCACAATAACATTTATCCTGCTTGTTAAAACTATCCAAATCCGCCTGTAATACTGACACCAAATCGAGGCAGCATGTGCTGATCGAGCGGGCCTCGGTCGCGTGCTGATTTATTTAAGGTGTACACGTTTGGATAAAAAGCCGCGTGAATAGAAAGAGATGACCCTGAATAAAGGGGGCGACTATTTTCAACACATTTCTGTACTAACAAACGAAGCATTGGTCCGCTATTCTCTCACACCTTGAACACGGACGCACGCGTTTCGTATCTTGCCAGCGTTAATTGAAATAATTTGCTCCGCATTTGATGACGCAGTCCGATCACTAATGGATATGAAGTTTTGGGACGTCCTTCTTTTCCGTTATTTGTATTGTTATTGTATTGTATTGTATGTTATTTGCCCACATGCAATCATCATTACGAGGCGTTTTATGTTCACTATTTGTTGCTCAATGGTTAAAACGCAGGTTTCACTGCAGTTTTTAGGATGAATGTATTCTGTTCTGGTTCAAAGGGGCAGGACATATTGATTATCGTACATCTCACATCTGTCAGCTTCTACTAAATAAGTGAATGTTTTAGTTTTTCTCTTGTTTATTTCACTCAAGGGTTAATATTCGCTTTTTCCCCCATTTAAAAAAAATAAAATGTTATTATAGAGGTTGTGATCTGGTTTCTACGTCTATTTCATATTCACTTTTGGCTCATACACGCACTCCACCCTCCACCCTCCTCCTCACACACACACACACACACACACACACACACACACCCTATAATAAATCGCATGCATTGTGCGCATGTGCCCTGTCCTTGAGTTTCTACAACCTATTTTTTTCCTCTGTATTTTCCTTGGTAGGATTGTCTTACACGTCAGCAGCACTATGGAGTACTACAAAAGGTGACGCGCAGAAGGAGGATTTGTGAATGGACGCCGTGATGTGTGCCAGCTCACAGATCAGAGGGTGGTGGTGGTGGTGGGACCTCTGCAGATGCACCCCGAGCCCCCTCTCCACCCGGCACTCCCTCCCTCCCTCCTTCCCTCCAGATGAATGGGGGTCTCGATATCAGCTCTGTCACCATGCAGGGGTCGCACCAAATCCTCCAGCTTCCTGTGCCTTTCAAACCCTGAAAGCAAGTCTCCCCTATTTGATGATCCCATATGATTTTTTTTGTTGTGCTTTTGTGGGCCTGGAAGCTCGCTGGCCCCTGTTTTCCATCGCGGGGTCAGCCAAGAGCATGGCAGCCGAATTAGAGAAGATTAGAAGCGGGCCTAATTGTGTCTACACTGCACAAAGTCAATCAGTCTTTCAGAGACAATTAATGTAGTTTAAAAAAACAAAAGAAATACAAGAAATTAAAGATTTGGAGAGAGATTAGCCGAGCAGCTGTTATCCCATTGTTTTACAGGAGGTGTGGTGCGTTGGATGTGGGCAGATCACAAGGCATTTATGTGTGTGTGTGTGTGTTAATTTTGATTAAAAACGAATGCAATCATTTGATCGCATGGGTTTATTTCTGCCACTTGTCAAGCTATGGATTTTTTTTCAAACCACGCTTAATTATTTTGGTCAAATTTAGCGGAAATATTCGTAATTTGTTTCAGTTTATTCTTCTAAAAGCCAACGATGTAAAATTTAAATTTTAGGCAACATTTTGCACGGTGTGTCTCAAAGTAATGCATATTGGTTTCTGCTGCATCGCCTTTACTCCACTATTTATCCATCACACAGCACCGCGCGTAGATGATGTCTAAATCATTTGTTTTGCCGTTGTGTGACAGTGTTTGCAGATAAATCCTCCGAGTCGCCGGGCAGCGGACTTTGGGGCCGTTGGATCTTCTGGTTTCAGCCCTTTATAGGTTTTAATAACTCTTAATCCGTCTGATCGGTCTGGCGTAGATAAGTCTCATTTGAATTGGGATTGTTCTTAAGGAGCGGCTCGTATTTCTCCACTGAAGTCTCAAACAGAGCTTAGCACAAACAACTGCACCACCCTGAGCGCAATTAAGGCCTCAGCTAAATTGGATGAAGGCTAATTGAATGCGGCTGAGCTCCCGTCAGCAAACTCCTGAACGCGTCACTAATATGATGAAAACGTTCGGCAGCAGCTTTTTGACCTTTTTAGTTGTGTAAATGTGTGTTAAAAATAATGCGGCAGCAAAACTTTTTTGTTTGTCTCATAAAATTCAAACACTAAAGCAGACGTTTTGCGGTATGTTGGATGCAGAGGACACTTACGGCTGTTTAGGAAATGTAATGTTGATATCTGGTCTTGTTCAAGTGGGAAATGTCGGGTTTTCATTTGTTATTGATTTGTGTGTAAATTCTAACTACGTGTAATTGTGAAAGTTACTCACCCTTAAAACTCTCCAGGAGTGCTTTGTTTTATTTAAAAATCAAAAACTTTAAATTAAACTTCAGGGCTCCTCAGAACGGAGGGTGACTTATTTTGGCCTGACTACAAAATGAAACCAAAGAGAAATGAAAGTTAGAATAAAAATCCTAAAACAATAATCGGATATCTACGTAAAGGGTGAAAACGAAGACTCTTGCTCAAACCATTATGTGCTCGCGTGCTTCACTATCATTTCATGCGTAGAGAGTTTGGCTTTCTAACTTTGAGCATCAGGTAGTCCGGGTTAGTTTTCGACCCGCTATACGGTGTCCGGTTTGTGCGCATTCTCTCCCCCAGCTGGGCCGCAGGACTTTCCACGTCTTACTTGTGACAGCAAAGAATGAACTACGCGTGGAGGCTATTTCCGTGAGGTCAACGGGTTTACATTCTCTGACATACAGAAAGAATCGGCTGCCATGCAACATGGGGGAGCCGTGGGGGGGCAAGGAGGAGAAGAAGAAGAAGAAGGAGGAGAGGAGCAGGTCATTTATGGATGGACATGTGCCGCAAAATAGACCTAAAAGAAGAAACAAACACATATAATGCATAAAAACGATTCCTCTCACTGACGCGGCCCGGTGGGGGCCCCCCTGAAGTTTTTGGCCCCCCGATGTGAAGGTGCGAGCCCAGGATGCTTTGCGAGTCTCAGATCGTCTAAATGCCTCGTGCACCTGTCTCGCGCTCCCGCGCGCGTTTAGGAGCCACGGTGAGAACAAGTGAGAGACGCACAGGTGGGAAGCACTTGCTGCAGGATAAACAGAGTGAGTCCAAGCAGACAGGCCGAAACATTGTTAAATGTTATTTATTCCCAAATAAATATCCTGCAAACCGGAGGCGGAAGGAAGTGTGCAATCACACATCTCCGGAAGAGGAATTATCCAAATGTCGTTTGTCTCCAAACTAACTCTCAAAGTGGATTATTAAACCTGCAGCCAATTTATTTGGTTTTATTCTCATCCGGACTTTTGCGAATGTAAAACAACACGCAGATGTGATCACGTCACTGGGTCATAAAGGCGATTTCATCACGAAAACACAAACTTTTTCTTCTTCTTTATCTCTCCCATTTATTTCCGTTTCCCAAATAGGAGAAACAATTCATGTTATGTCGCAGTGTCCCAGCTTGCAACTTTAATTATAGCGGAAGAAGGTCAGTCAGAAGCGGGTTTCCGACCCCTCTCCCTGTGTGGCATCGCGCTGCGCGCCGCTTAACTGCCAAAATAGCGCCGGACTGCCCTGAAAGCGCCGTGTGCGACATGAGTCCCTTTCACCCCGCGTGCACCTGAGTTGTTTTTACCCCCCAGCAGCGGATATGCTGTGAATTTGTCACTTATCAGGGGCCAGGCTGTCAAGGGCCATTTTAGGAGCAATAACTTTCCCAGTTGGATTTAGCCTGCCAACTTTGTGCGTCTCTCAGCAGCGAGATGAATGGGCTGCGTGCCTGTTGCTTCCCCAGAAATGTCTCCTACGCCTACTAATGGAGACTAATTAAAACATGACAAACATCGACCTTTAGTGCATTCTAAACAGGGCTGAAAGCATGATTTGGGTTATGCAAATGTGCTCTCTATTCTGTGGCAATATTTATGTGGGTGACATATTCCTCACATGTGTCCGTTTGCTCCTTTATGGGCCACAAAGTAAATGTCTTTTCATTTTTTTTCATTCGAAGAATAACCTTCTTTATATCTGATATATATGGGCTTCTTTTTCACCATTCAAGGCACATACCCAGGCCCACACAAAGCTAATCCTAAAATCAAATGGATCATCTTTTCATATTTTATTATTTACAGATATCTAAGAAAGAAGCGCCATACATTTATAACTTGTACTGTTTTGGACGTTTTTGTTGTCAGCATCTCCGAATATGATCAGGCAATGAAAATGCTCAGCTTGATTTACTTCTTTACCTTTTCGTCAGTTATCATTACCACCAAGATGTACCCGATGTGTTTAATTCACACTGGGAAGGATTTGTTTATGCATCACCTGAGGTTTTCATTTTATTATTGTCCTGCAGAGGAAGTATGCTGAGTGAACTGATTAAAAAGATGTGAACTGTTGTCTACACCGTAAAGACAATGCCGCATCTGCACACGCTTCCCTGCCCTCTTACGTTTTCCTTTTATATCTTAGTTTCAGCCCTAAATCACTGAATGAATGGAGACACAAAAAATATCCTAAGAACAGAATTGAGAAAAGAAAAGGTTTCAGCAGATGATTACTCCCTCAGACAGGAACACGTGAGGCAGAGAGCAGCCCGAGACTTCCATTTGAATGGGATCTGAGAGGTAATTTGAGCTAAAATGGAGTCCACTTCTGAGCCCCTCACTCAGCCACCCCCCCCACCCCCCCATGGCATCCACTGTAATTCATTATTCCTGGCCGGCACTGGGAGAGGCAATGAGCGAGGGCAGAGGACAGAGGACAGGAGCGGACCCGGCTCACGGTGTAATGAAGACTCAGTCGACCTAAACCAACTCCACACACACACACACACACACACACACTCACACACACACCACACACAATGTTTGATTATATATCACAGGGAGCAGGACATTAATGGCACTCAAGACCTTTTGGCAGAGAAATAAGTGTGAGCAATGATTTTTCTCTAAATCCATTTCGGTGACCTTTTCTATCATGCATGTGACTCTCTGCCTGCACTGCAGTGTGAGATAAATATTCCAAGAACAAGCTTCCTTCCACTTTTTAATAAACCCTCTCTTTGAATCTGAATGACTATTCTCTTATTTGGGTTTGAGGTCTGTTTATTCAAAAAGATACGTGTATATTTCCTAAAATGTTTTGTCTGCATTTCGTGCATACTTTCCCATCCTAAACACACAGAGCTCGTTGTTTGCAATAAACTGAATTGCATCCATGTGTATTCTTTAACTTCACAGTAGGTTTATGTTCTCTAGTCTCAATAAAATCGGTCGGGTGAGTAGATATCTGCATTGTGAGATCAGGCCCTGCAAGACATTTGGCGTTCCTTGTGCCTCCACTAGGGGTCCACAAAGGTCACGGTAATAATGTCCAGACAAGCTGAGAGGATAAATACTGTCATCTGGTGGTAACAAAAGCCATCACTACCGAGTAGAGAACGCTGTGGTCTACCCTGTAATGCATGATTTGCTTCTCCAGAACATCTCCCCAGTCCTCCTCCTGCCACCTGTATGCACGAGCTCGTGAGAGACTTATAGATGTGTGAGACCGGTGGAGCCAAGAGACGGGACATCGATCAGCCAACAAGTTAGCGCCTGCAAAGAGGAAGACATCCCCGGAGTCTCAAAACGGCCGAGTGCGACACAAAAAAGGTTTCAATTAGTAGAGTGAGTGACCTCGATAAGACATCTGCTCGGTTTAATATATCATGTATGTGGTCTGATGTGTTTATCTCTCTGTCATAGATCCCTTATCTGTTTCTGTTTTCACCATGAGCCTTGAAATCCAAAGAGATGTCTTCATTTTCTTTATGGTTGGACAGGAATACGGCTTCTGCATTTATGATTTTTCATCACATTTTACACGTAATTGAAACTCAAGTCAGAATCAGAATCCATATCTGCTTATGCACACATGGACTCTGGCTTCCACTTTGTTTTTATTTCTTGTTTATTTGTATGTATGCAGACAAAGAAGTACAACGGATGTATATATGTGGACAGAAACTGTACAACAAAGACAACACTCAGGTGCAAATGGGGGCTGTCTGACCGAATAATTGTTCATCAGAGGGCCGGCCTGAGGGAAGAAGCTCTTCAGCTCACAACGTGAAGTGATTTTTGTGTTAATGTTGCCACATCAAAGACACACAGTCCAAAAGGAAAAAAAAGCTAAATGAATCCAGCAGAAGACATCATCCTCCACTTATTCCTTGACTGAGCGCCGATTTCTCTCCAGATGCGAAAGCACCATAATCCATATCAGCCCTTTCCATCTCTTCATTACAGCTGCATCGGAATTTCAAAACCAATGGTTTTTCGAATTGCTGCACCATTTCTTCAAACGGAGACACTCCGCATGTCTTGTACATCGTTTATCCCACTTTTTCAGAGGTGTATATTGACATGTTTGCAGTCTTTGGGAACATTGGAATCTCTACTAGACTTTACCCATAGAACCGCGTTTGACTGCACAGCATGAGTCCACACAGAACAGACGGCCCCACTGGTGGACCTCGACTTGTTATCTCGCCGGTGTCGGTGCAACATAGCAAAAAGCTCAATAACCACAATTTGAAATAACATAATCAAAACACAAAGCTGTTGCGAGGAGATAAAATTGAACGGTCTACTGGGAGGATCTGTAGATGGCTCAAATCAATAGCTGAGAAGGGCCCAGGCCTGTCTCCACGCCTGGGACGGAGAGAGTAAGCGGAAGAAAGACAGTGGTGAGGGAGGGGGGGGTCTTTTGGCAATAAGGGGGCACTCTAATGGAGTCTTTCAGTTTGCTGTGGCCGCAAATGAAAGGAAGTTGAAGCCCGGCCAATTATTCTGCCTGAGAAGAGGAGGAGAGTGAAAGAGGAAGGAGAGGGGAGAAGCGGCGTGTGGCGCCGGGATCGTTGGCCTGTCAAGCGGGGGGAGATAGATAAATAGATAGATAGACGGGGGACAGATACACGGATGTATAGAGAGACCGAGGGGTTCATCCAGAAACAGCCCTCAGATATTGGCCCCACTCCCAGAAATTTCCCCCAGAGCAAAAGGTTAACTGTCAGTCCCCCGCTAGGTATAAATAGAAGTCTGCCCTCCAGAAAGGCATGTTCAGAGGGGAGGGGGGCAGTTCCCCGTGACACACACACACACACACACACAGGGGTGGGGCGAGAAAAGATGGCCACCTGACCCGCCCCTCTCGCCGAAGAAATGACAATGCCTCAGGAGACTGTCAGAGGCCCCCCCCCCCCCCGCCCCTCGGACAAAAGAGCGTCCTCGTCCATTCAACTTGGCCGTGACGGCAGACACAACAAACGCCACCACCGGCACCCCGAGAAAACCCCCGTGCAATTGAGGTGCGAGTTGCGTAATCGTGCTGGTGGGCCATACTGAAAGTAGAAAGGGGGGGGGGGGGGCTTGGCTTGTGTGTTTTTGTTCAAGTTCACAAGGAGAGAGGAAAGGGGGGGGGGGGGTTGGTTCCACACAAAGGGGCCAAATGTGCGTACCTTATCCCGGGATTCAGGAATCACGTTCCAGTTCTTCATCCGGGCCCGGGTCGAAGTAAGGACAATATGCAAAAATCTTAACAGGGGTTATTTTTCCCTTAAAATCAATGGGAGGCAAAAAAGGGATACCGCGCGAAATATTCGAACCACACAGGAAACCTTCCAAAATGGGAACAAAAAGGTGCTTTTCACCAACACAAGCAAAGAGGAAGCTTCCTCTTCAGTGAAACACACCCGGATGTAAGCCGACGCAGCCTGAATCTGCCACAAATAAAGTACGTACAAAAATAAATTGAGTTTGCTTTTACAAAGTGAGATTGTTTGCAACAGTTTGACACGATATCGGTTTTATTTTGTCTCTCTGGGGAGTCATCGGTATGTAACCTCTGACACAACCCTTGTTCCAAAAAAGAAAGATGTTATTGCTTTTTATTTTAAATCACTTCACTGCATATACTTAACAAGCAGAGTTCTTTTTTTTTTTTTTGCAATCGTCAGAAAAAAATAAATAACTACTACTAATTGTGTAATGTATACTCTGATTGCACTGAATCCTCTAGACCCCCCAAACGCTAAGTAACATACTGTAGGTCTATTATGGTAAATAATACCTTTCTGATCACAAAGCCATTCAACATTAACCATGATGTCATGTTTGTACAAATAATAAAACAAACAACAACTGTATAGTGACAAAAGCACTACATTCTAAATACACAGGCAATCACAGATTGCAAATCTTAAGAAATAATGTCCTGGCCCTCTCGTTCCACCGGTGCATGTTCCCGATACTTTTAGTCTCGAGCGGGCGACAACGTACACGATCACAAAGACATTTAACAGCTGGTCACAACGGGGGTTTTAAACTGCTTCAACAGGGACCACTGATGCTGGCAAAAGTAGTTCTAGTATACTGTGGGCACATTCTGCACCGCGGAGGCCTTCTTCGCTCTGCACACAGCGGGAAAACTAAATGTGGACTTACTTCAACAATCCTCCGTCTGTGAGTCTGAAACAGACAAAACGATGTACCGAAGTTCTCCGAGTAGCGCCCCCCCCCCCCCCAGGCTATAACACGTGATCTTGTGCTGGCAGAGAGTCGTGAACGCGGCCGGCACAAACTAACTAATTGGCACTGTTGAACACATTCCCTGTCCCTATATTCCATTAACCATCGTCTCGCATGGGCTTCAGCCTCAACTTGGATGAGGACGTCTGATTACGTCCCTCCTGCAAGATAGGACTCTCGGCGAGTCATTTCCCCAATATGAACTATTGTCCAGCATGGGGTCATTCAAAACTACATAATAAATACTTAATTTGGTTTGACTGGGGGGGGGGACGCACGTCTCAAAAGTGCCGCTTTAATGCGAGAATGGAGACATTTCCCTTTTAGGATCGTAATGTATTCAGGCTACAAACAAACCGGTCTTATCTGCTGAGACCAAAGCCCGTCCACGCCAAAGCTAAACGGCGCGCGCTTCCGCTCCACAAACTGGAGAGATACGCACTTCCAGCATTAAACTAAAACCGGTTCACTTCAAAACAACAGCAAACAAAAAGGAAAAAAGGCAAACACTGTCCTCTTGTGAAGTGTGAGGGAAGCTTGAATGCTAATGGTGTAGAACAGAGGCGGGAGGGTGAGCCTGTTTGGCCACGAGGAGGTGCGGAGGACATGGCACGTTAGACGAGGGGCTTCTTTTCTGACCCCCACTTTGTTAAGAGAACAAAGGATGAAGGGTGAGGGGGGGGGAAACAAAGTCTCTTCCTCCTGTTGTCGTTGTCGTTCTTCGCGTAACTTGTCCATCTTTGTGTTGTCCGTCCTTCGCCTGGTTCGTCTGCGTTTTCACCGTTCAGTCCATGTGGGGTTTCTCGCCGCCAGCCTGAGGGGGTGAGGAGGGGGGGGGAGAAGCTCGGTGTGAACAACACAAATCGATCGAAAGAGAAAACACGAGTTGAAATGTTGTTTGCAAATTGAGTTCCTTTATGTGTATGGTAGGTTTTTATGCGAGAACGGAAGTGGCTTTATAAACGTCGTGGCAACGGAGGCCCGGTCATAAGACTAGTTTATGGTTCTGACGACGCGGAAGCCTCAGGCAACTCATTTAAGACCAAAGTTACACATGAATTGCTGTTCCTGTAAAATCATAGCTGCAGCTTGAAAAACAAACAGGAAAATGCCTAAATGCTCTTTTAACAATGAGCAGCTTTTAAGTAAATACACTAGTTGCTGACTCAGGAGATAAATCTGGACGTTTAAACTATTTTTATTTCAGTTCCTCCTTTTGGAAGGTTACATTTTTCCTTTTGATGTACAATAACGGAGGAGAGAACTGCCTGTTCAACGCGACGCGAATGCAGACTACTTCTCTCATTGCTTATTTTGCTCACCACAAATAAAATAGATGTATTCAGCCGTAATGTTTTAGCAAACTACTTGTCTGAATATAACTTTAAATAAACTGATAACACGAGTCAGCTTTGAAGTGTGTCCAAAAAGCACAAGAACAAGACAAGTGTTTATTCTGCATGGTTTGACAAAAACAAAAACCTTTGAGATACAAAAAAGAAAAAAAAAAAAAAAGAAAAAAGAAATGTTCCTCCTGCTCCCGTTCCCCAATGACCCGCTGGAGCAAGAGAAAGAAAAACAAAACCACGAGTGCGGACTCGTGCCAACATTCCTCGGGCCCCATCGCAAACAAAAACAACGAGTAGCAAATGACCCTCCGGTCAGCCGAGTCCCGACTGGCTCCGAGTCTCACCACGACTGTGAAAAACAACGGCCCTTAATCCGCTTTCACGCTTCCACTCGAGTCACACCGAGGGAGTGACGGGACTCTTACTTTACAGACAGAATGAGGTGAGGCTTCCGGGCACGGGCTTGGATAAAGACATCAAAGCCGACTTGATGGGATAATTATGAAGAAAGGGGAGCGAGGGGGCGTCTAATGCACTTTGCTCAACTTTAAGCCGTTTAGGCAATTTTATCAGCTGTTGTGGTTCGGTTAAATAATTGCGAATAAAGCGCGCGTGGCGCGGAGGAGTCTTTCGAGGTCTGTTTAGGAGTTCAGCAGATGGATCGTTCAGCCTGAATCAGCCTTTATGAGACTTTTGGTATGATGGACATAAATATATTTTAAAATAACGTCAAAGTAGATTATGTATTACCATAGGCGTTACCATGGCGAGTTGCCGTCCGATGTTTCCCACGGTGACACCGCCAGAGAAGAATATGCACGGGAGCCAGGAGCGTACGTACAAGAAGTCTGGAGACGTGTACCTGGAAGACAGAAAGAAAAATACAATGATTCAATCATTCTTAATGTAAAGCACGTTGTGGGAGCTGATGTTAAAATAAGACTGTGGATGAGAATATAAAAGTAGAATGTCATGTCACAGAGTTAAGAAAAAAGACACATCTAAGACAGATCTGAATGCAGAAAGACAAACAAACAAACCCCGTCAGGTTAACAAATGCATTAATGTCTTCTCCGTTTCCGCCTTGTGAAGTCAGCATGAGCTGCAGCTACTATTTGAACCTCTAACATCAACAGAAATCTCTTTTCTCAGCCGTGTTATTTTGAAACCACTGAAGCCGGTATGGGGTCCCATTAATTGGGCTCCAACAGACCAAGGGAAATCCCAAAATAGAACTCAAGCCTTATCTGGCGTGTCTTTTTTTTTTTTTAATGGGAACATACATCGGGTGGTACTTCCAGGTAGATTATAAAGCTAATTCACACCGGGGAGGGGCTTGACTCCACGGCTTTGTAATTATCCCAGAAGTCAACGTTGGATTATCTGCGAGTGTAACATGAAACCAGATATTTGTGACGACAGACGGCAGCACTCGTGACAGCATCGGTTTCGTTTCATCGAAGAAGGGAAAACAACCTGAGCGGCTTTTACTCCCTTTGTGCAGCAACCGGGAAAACACTTACTGGTAAACGCCATTATAGACGAGCAGCTGCGTGAAAACGGTGGCCAGGACGGCGGTGGTGATTCCCAAACCGAAGCCGCTCCTGGACCGGTCGAATGTCCACCACAGGCCCAGGGACAAGGCCGCCAGCGTGAGGGAGAGCTGCACGTTGTTGTCAAAGTCTAGTTTCTGTGACGCCAGTCTGGTTAAGGACAAGAAAACCCCCACGAAAAGCGAAAGACAGTTCTTACTCAAATATTTGCATGACATGCGGAAGTTCCATCACTACCTGAATGGTTGAACCAGGGCATCCGGTTTCTTTGGATGCAAAAAAATATATATTTTTAATAAGCGTTTGGAACTCGTTTGGAAGGATACAACACTGGCGTGGTTGATGCCGACGAACACCGCTATGCACCTCATGACGCTGGCCCACTCCCGCTTGAACTTGTGCGGTTCTCCCAGATGGCTGTCGAGGCAGGGATACAGCAGGCCGACCACAGCTGCCAGAGGGAACAAACAGACCCAAATTACACCAGATAAGCATGTGAAACGCCAGCGGGCAAATTCTGTCAGGGCGCTAACGTGGGATTGTTTTAATGGCTGAACATGCAATTGCATAATAAAGTCTTATTTAGATACCTGCATTTCTGCTGTTTAATGAAATACTTGGGTTTAACTCACATTGGAGTTCCAGTTTTTGACGCATCAGCAAAGACATTGATGTTTATTTTAGTTTAGCAGACTATCAAATCATCATAGTTTAAAAACTAGAACATTATATTGGATTCACTCTTTTTTTAATTGATCATATTAATGCAAATAGAAAAATATTATGTTCATGTGACTCACTGTAAATTAAATATATATAGAGTACATTGTACAAGTACAAGTACTTCAGACAATACATTTGACTCAGACTTGAGTGAACAAACACGAAGCCGCAGCTTAACTTTCGTTTGCGTTGTTTTTCCCCCCTTCAGCTCTTCTCCGCCCACTTCCCGGTTCCCGCACCTAGAGCACCGCCCCTTCGGCTCACCCGTTATGACACAGGCCAATCAGCGCGCAGCTGATCTCGTATCCGGCTGTTGCGGCCAATCAGAGGTCGGGAAATGCCACCATCTGTTCCAAGTCATGCTTCTTTTTTTTTTATTTTTTTTTTTTAATAACTAGCTGCCAGACAAACCCGCTAAGACTGGAACAGCATTAGAGAATAAGGGGTGACTTATAGTCGATAACAACAAAGCCGAATGGTGATTCACCAGCACATGATCGGACAGTAGCTGATAGCAGCGACAATTAACTCCACACAGAGGAAGTTTTACGACTTCCTCTGTGCGGAGTGTCATTTTACAGCACAGGTGTGGATACATGTGACGTTTCAGCAGCCACTGATTTGGAAAACACACGTTCACTCCATCCCTGTCTCTTTATATAATGGAATAAACTACCGCACTGTGACCACTCCCGGCTTTGTCCCCCTACATTCACATCGCACACATTCACATTTTTTAAAGTTGTTTTTTTTGTTGCTCCAAAGAACGCGTGGTTGACTCACCGGCCCCGGTGCCGCAGCACGGCGGGATCCACCAGGCAGACGAAAACAAAGTTGCCATCACCTCCTCCGGAAACAGGGTGACGTGCCTCTGGATCTGCAGCAAGTTGAGCACCAGGGCGAGGAAGGCGCCCACGGTGAAGAGGACGAGACCCCGGCGGATCAGGTTGGCCGTCCGGACGTCGTGCAGGGAGCCGTAGGCGTTGCGGAGCACCGAGGTGATGATGCACATCATCTCCTCGGCTTTCAATGCTAACCAGTTAGCTCCGGACGAGTGCTTGGTTTCCACCCTCGGCGCACAGGAGCAGCTCCAGCAGTGCTCCTCTAGTCTGGGCATTTGGCACCTGGAGGCTGGAGGGGAAGAGTTTGGGTACATTTTGTGACAACGCGGAGAGAGCAACCCCGACGTTTGACTAACTGAAAAGGAAGGGTCCCCCCCCCCCCCCCCACCTGCATCCTGTTGCATGAGCGCGAGTGAGGAGACGGCTGGTCCTTACCTTGATCTCCAGATGTCTTCGGGTCTGGTTCTGGTGCCGCCTGGGCCAAGTGATCCAGGCGAAGATCCCCGCTTTGTTTTTCCTGCTCGTTGCGACGGGGGCCGTGATCACGCCGTTTGCTCACATCGTCATCGGAAGAGACGGCGAGGACTGCGCTCCATTCCACAGCATGCAGGCTCATAACCGGGGGACGAGGGCTTTCTCCGCAGAAAACAATCACAGCTGTGTCGGGTGAGAATCGGCGGCCAATCAGAGCGCGGCGGCTGATATGACGTGTCGCAAAGCCCCCGCCCACTTTGTCCGGAGCAGACAGGCGCGCTAACCGGGAGGCTTGCAGGGAGCAGAAGTGAAAGTGTAAACGGAGAACTCCTTCCAAAATGGCCTAACAAACACAGGGAACCACGAAGAGCATTCGAGGAGATGCAACTAAATATAAAGGGGTGGATACAAAAGAGCAAACATGCAAGAACAAGAGCTTACAAGTCATGCTAAACTCACTACAAACTGAAAAACAGCTGCAGGGGAGATCCTATTGAAAAAATGAGTTTAAAAAAAGGGGAATTTGTGTTTACCAGGAAGCAGAAATGGTCAAACTTCTACAGATGTTGTCTCGAAAAGCCAACTATCCCAACGTCACGCACAGCTTGCCCTTATATTGGGGAATGTGACGTGGCACGGCTCTTTTCCCCCCCTGTTGTTGACATAATGTTGAACTTTGGGTCAGGTTGGAGGAGGCGTAGCTTGCAAAGAACCGCGTGCGTGGACGGGAGGGGCATGTTGACTGCACGTCCCTCTGAGATAATGTGAAAAGTTCAGTTCCCCTATGAATGAGTTCCAATCAGCGACAACAAGATGGAAACATGTTTTGCAAGACCGTGTGTGACCCACAGGGTACGAACCGATAAGAGCCTCCAACCATTGACCACGTGCTGCAAAAAACATGTCACTTTTGCTGTTAAACAGTCAGATACTGAGATCACGTTTGCTGATATTATCTGCTGGCACTTTTTACAAAGTAATATCACGGTTGAATCATAATGCGAATTGCCTCGCAGAATGAAGCGATGCATCATGACCTACAGCAAATGTGGTAAAAAAAACAGACTCCTTCTTTGGTTTAATTAGGCCAGGAATGTCTCAGGATGTTGCATGGAGGTTTTTTTGGGGCATTTATGGGGTTTCAAAATAGTTTCGCTCTTCATTCATGGTGTGATGATGTGTCATAACCCTTATCGGACGAGATCGGTCAATACAGCTCGGACTAAAAAACTGAAACCACAACGGTTTTGATGACACACTCTTGGCCCAGTTGCCTACGGACGGGAATGTAGAATCCGTTAGCGGAGATTACCACATCAAACGACCCCCACGAGCAGCGAATGGGGGAGGGGTGCTACGAACGCACCACCCTGCTCGTCTGGTAGGAACACCAGTGAAAAAACACAAAGGTATAAGCGCTGAGCGTGGCTCTGAGGTCACATAAGCAATACAGAAAAATCAGGAAAACACGGGTCCAACATTTCTGTAGCTCGTCCAGATGTTATATTAGCTGCTAATGAATAATCTAAAATTAGAAAAACACATTTCTTACATATAGTGTGAAGCTTACTAAATAACGCAGTTTAATTCGCTGACATACAACCCAATGAGGCCACCTGTTTGGCTCCACAGTCAATGCACCTCACACAGCAGCAGAATGTTTAAAGAGGCGTTGGTGCAATTCAAGCCACTGAACACACCCAAATACAGCCGAAGGACTACAGGGAAGCTTTTACCTCAGCGGGACACCAACTCCCAATGCCTTCTCTGTGTGGAGCTCCAGCACAACAGCTGATGTATATTAATAAAATGTGTTTGTTTGTTGTCTGTTTGGGAGGATTTTCAGACTCCAGGTTGTTTCTCACTGAATGAGAATGAGGCTGCGAGCTGCCCTTTAAAAGAAGTTGTAAAGTTAACATTTGTGCGCACAGTGAAGCAAATATAAGCCTGATCAGACATATTTCATTTTAGTTTTAGTTTTCCTCCTTCCTCCTGCACTGCAGGCTATAGGGCAGGCACATCGCCGGGAATTTAGAAATGAATGGAAATGAATGTGTGATTATTGATTCTTGATGGAAATAGATCCCATGCACATGTAAAACGGTTACTTCCAGAAAGTGTGCTGATTCAGCTGAATTTGATCTGAATAGAAATTTGAAAGTGGAACAGAGTATAATCCCATGGTATTACATTATTATCACATTATATTATAATGTACATTATAATATTATTACATTTTCAGTTGTCACCTGGTAAATTATAGGTTTCCTTTACATAAACCAAGTCATTTCCACCATTTCCACCAAAATCCACCAGGATCTCGGAAATTGAAGTGATTGAGGCTCATTTTTGGGGAGTGAGGAGCACTACAGCAGCTTCAGAATGAGTTTTTAAATTCTCGTATTTCACATGGACATATAAGTCCTATTATAAGTATTACTGTTTCCAAACAGCACTTTCAAATTGACAGAGTTTAAATTGGTTCCACGTGAATAGAACGTGAAAATGCCAGTGATAACTGAATGCTTAAATATAATTGTCACAGCTGCACTCAACAAGTTAAGCATGAAAGTGTATTGAGGTCTGAAAAGTTTGCATTTGTCCCCCCTCATGTCCCATTTTCTGAATGCTTGTGTTGGTGTCTGCATGAGGCTTGAACCGTGTCGCCGTGTCGCATTGGATGAGAAGGCTGGCAAAAGGGAAACGTAGCCTTTTAACCATCTGAACAGGTTTATTTTTCTTCCTTATTCATTTCATAGCATCCTTTGGATATAATGGCCTCTTTACAAACAGAATGCTGTGGCTCCAAACCACCATTTGGAGACGTTCACTTTGCTGCTGCAGTCCGTAGATAATGACATCAGCCATATTCACTCTATCCTAATTTCATTGGTCCATGTGGTTAACACAGATAAATCGCCAGAGCGTCGCAGTTGTGCAATTTGGGAGGAAAGAAGGTCAAAATGAGAAGGGTGCACGTACGAGGAGCTCTCCAAGGCCCCAAAACTACTGCATCATCTTATTTAGCAATAGCTGCCCTCTCTGCTTCAGTGAGTGTGTTGAAGGTCGATGGTGTGTGTGTTCAGTACATCAAATTAGGAAATATCGCTCTGCCTAATTCACGCCAATCCAGATGCATTAGAATAAAAAACGACAGCAGTGAGAGTGCGCAGGGGGTCCGTATTGTTGCACATCCAAACCAGAAGACACATAAGTAATCTTATCAATAACTGAAAGACGGAAAAAACAAGGTTAGCAGAGAAAAATAGTGACATCACCCTCACACTTTAAATCAACTAATGTGGATTCTTCTGCTTCTATAACGACATTAAAACGTGCATTAAAGTAGAGGGCGAAATTACGAGTCATGCGCTAGCTACTGCGGAGCCATAATAACCAAGAGAATCACTCGGCATGTACCAAATGCCCCCTAGCAACCGGCAACTGGCGCTGGCATGGAAGAGGTGTCAGACATTAGAAGATGAAGCAGGATGCTGTGACACTTCAAATGAATAGCGGATCCAGCACGCCACAGATTATGCTGTTAGAAGGGGTGGGATTGAATTATAGCTAAAGGAAAAAGCCCGCTGTTAAATTGATCTGTCAAACTCAGGCTTGACAATTTCTTCCCCCAATCTCGTGTGAAATTATGGGGGTGAAACATCCTAATCCGTCCCCTCGGAGGGTTGATTAAGAGGGAAACGCTTTCAGTGTCATCCTCTTTATTCCTTCTAGTTCAGGTGTCAAAAATCATTGCGTTCATTCCTTTCCACCTGCTAAAGACGCTTAACATTTCGAGAGCCCTCTGAAACTGTTCAACAAATTAATAAAGAGGTTTTATTCATGCAAAGGCCCCATAGGTGATGACGGTATCCATTCCCCGCTCAACTCAAAGTTTCCTAACCCTTTCTTCATCTTCTGTCTCCAATACCTCGGCCTCAATGCATTCTGGGAACTCGGTGCCTCGTTCTGTGTGCCGTGAAACATCAAAGAGGATTATGCGGTACGGACTGTATCGAGCAGCTCAACAAAGGGTGCGATGGAGGCCCCGAGGGCGTGGCACCAGGATGCAGCTCTCCCAGCTCCTTTGTTCTTCAGCGTTCACGTCCACCATCGTCTCGGAGCAGCTCACCTGTTTTCATGTAGCCGGCCCCTACACCTAACCCCCCCAAAAATACTGGATTGTGTATTAAGGGATGATAAACACATCCTAAATCAGCTCCACGAGGCTAAACATATTGTGCTAATCAGTGAAGGTCTTGCACTCACAAACAGTTTGCTTGCTGTTGGCTGTAACCTTATATTTCATAATCAGATGAGATGCTGCTATCAATCTTATCATCTCTCAGCACAAAGCAAAAGTGTATATTTCCCAAGACGTCTGAGCTCCTTTCAGGCGTGTCTGTTGTGACGAACTGCCTGCCGCTCTTGTCATCTGTGAGTTTCCTCGTGCTAACTTTATTGCTGCCGTTGACCTTTTAATAGCTATTTTGCGTAAAAGAAAATTGTACTTCAATTGAAATCGCACCAAGACTCAACACCACGGACTCAAAGCGACAACGTTAAACAAACACGTTGACAATATCAGCCCCACTCTGTGATACTTGTATTGGGTTACCACAGATCACATGTTTGTGGTCCTGCCCCCCCCCACACGGCTGTAAATGTGGCATATTTACACAAAAGCTCTATTCAAGTCAGTCACACCAGAAGTACCCATGAGCTGTACTACCTCAAACAGCCAATCAGCAGCCTGAGTGACACCCTCAGGTGTCATGCTCGACCAATAGCGGCTGCTCCCTCGGTGTGTGCGTGTGTGTGTGTGTGTGTGTGCACACAGAGACAGAATGTGATGGTGATGGAATCCTTTGGCAGCTTCTCCACAGACAGTAACTGATAGCACAGCTCACCATGACAGCAGCCAACCGTTTGCTGGGATTTGGGGTACTTGACTTACAGCCGATTAAATTCAGTCAGTTGAAATGTCTTCAACAAAAACTCGGCCGTTAAATCCAAACCTGCAGACGAGGTCACCTTTTTTTTATTGTGGTTAAATCATGGGACATTAACTTAACGGCCCAAATCCGAGGCAATAGCATTATTTAAATCATCCTACGTGCACCTGTGAAGTTTAACACCCAGAATAAAACTGTTTGGTTTTTATTTTTTTTGTACTTGGAGTTGCTTGGGTTCATGCAAGGTTGCCAAAATATTTATTAAAAATGTTTATTGTATAAGTCAATGCTGGAATGAATGCAATAAAATAATTCAAAATGACAATCTAAACACAATTGCCTTTACTTTCCATCGGTCAAAAAGGGGACAGAGAACCTGAATCTTCAGCTCTTGACCTCGTCCACTGAGCAAAGTGAATGCTCAATATTTACTCCATTTAATGCTTACTTTGCCCTTAGTCAACATGAAACATGTTAAAATGCACAAACACGCCATGTTTACAGCCAACTCTCTTTGCCAAGCACCTTTTTTTTTTTTTAAAGAGCATTACTTTCGATCACAGCACCTGAACCTGAACTGTCTCCGGCTATAGATTAATGGTTAACACAGTGGCCTCATATCAGGCTA